GAATTTGACGACAATATGTCGTCCCTGGCCTTTCTCTTCTAGCCGGATGGGTAAGTCAATTCTTCCGGCTGGGTAGACCATCCCACCCCCAAAACCAACCAAGGGGTGGGTGACCGGATGCATGCTGCTGGTGTTGTATTTCAGCTTCTGCAAGCACTAGAGGCTGATGATGTCCGACGACACTACTAGAAAACAGGTCATTTCCGACGGAACGGTTCCAACGGACACTATAATCTGTCGGAAAGTACGAAATTTCCGACGAATTTTATTTCAGTCGAAAATCCGTCGGAAATCTCCGACGGAATTGTAATCCGTTGGAAAATTATTCACTTCCGACGGATTTTCCGTCGGAAATGTTATATTTCCGACGAATATAATTTCCGTCGGAAATTTCCGACGGATTTAAATTCCGTCGGAAGCTACCGACGGAATTTACATCCTTTCCGACGGAATTTAAGTTAAAAAAAAAAAGAAAAGAAAAAGAAAACACCCAAAACCCTAATTATCACGGCGCCCCTTAACCCATTTTATTTTACTGATTACACTCTCTCTCCTCTCTCAGCCTCTCTTCTGCTTCTCTCTCCTCTCATCCTCTCATCTTCTCTTTAGATCTACTCCTCTCATCTCCTCTTCATCTCCCCTCTCTTCCCGGATCTCCTCTCTCTTCCCTCTTTTCTCTTCTTTCCTCATGGATCTCCTCTCTCTTCTTTCCTCCCTTTTCTTTCTCATGGATCTCCTCTTTCTTCTGAAATCTGCCACGAGATGGTCGGCGCCGATGGTTCTCTTTCTCACGCCTCTCCTCTTTTTCCTTTGCTCATGGTCTTTTTGGTTCATATTAATGGTTTATATGGTTAAATTCGACCATAAAATCCCTAGATCTAGAGGTTTCATGGCCGAATTTAGCTGTACGAAACCAAATTCGAGGAGAACTCAAGATCCAAGTTGGTGTTAAGGTATGTTATCCTGATTTTAATTTTTTTTTTAGTCGAATTTTGGTTTTTTTTTAAAAAAAAATTCACTGGTAATTTGTTGGTTGTAATGGTGGTTTTCGGCAGTAGTATGTTGTGGTTGTATTTTTTTTTTGTTTTTTTTTCTTAATTTTTGGGTGGTCTTTTGGTTAGAACAGTAGATCTGGGTTTGGTTTGGGTGGTTGATGTGGATTTGGGTTGGTTAGGGTTAATTAAGTGGGTGGGTTATGGTGGTGGGTTTGTTTCGGTTAAGGTGGTTGCTGGGTTTTCTGGGTTCTTCAGGCAGTTGGGTAAGGCCGTTAGGGTAATGGGTGGTGGTTGGTGGTGGTGATACGCCGTGCCGGTGGTGCGCGGCGTATTTTTTTTTAATTTCTTAAAAGAAATTTCCGACGGAAATTCCGTCGTAAATTTCCAACGGAAGTGTATCCGTCGGAAATTTACGACGGATTTTTCCGGCACCGGAAATACCACCTTGGACAGAAAATTCCGTCGAAAATCCGTCGGAAAAGTGTTTCCGACGGAATTTCCGACGAAAAAGGTGCTTTTTCCTACGAAGCCATTTCCGACAACCAGTTCCGACCGAATTTCCGTCGGAAACGTGTTTTCCGACGGATTTCATGGTTTTTCTGACGGAATTTTTCCGTCGGAATTGGCCTGTTTTCTAGTAGTGCGAGCTGCTGGTGTCAATAAGGATGCGTCCAACCAATTGGTTGGCGACCTTACATTCAATGACAACCGGGTCATCATGCGGACGGCGGACGCTGCCCCTGTCCTTCTCAGTAATGAGGAGATCCGGGAAGGTGGATCTGGCAGACGCCTACTCTTCATCATCCTTGTCCATCTTTCGAAGATGGCTTTTGGTGCCCCGGATGGTAGGGCCACCACAGGAGAATCCGCCTGCTATAGTGTAGACCGGATCCTTATCGGTATCCGAGCTACTAGTAGGCTGGTGGGTAGTCTTGGGGGACTGACCCTTATTCTTCTTCTTTGCCCCGGTTGGGAACTTAGAAATGTAGGACTTCAACATCCTTTTGTCAGCCAGACGGTCCAATGCCCGTTGAAGGCTGAAGCAGTCGTTGGTGTCATGGCCAACTTCCTCATGGAACTGGCAGTACTTGTTCTTGTTCCGTGACTGGACGGAACTTTTTATTGGATTCGGCTTCTCAATACACAGCCGGTCCTTTACCTCCATGAGGATGGAGTTGCAGTCTTTGTTAAACTCGTACCGGGGAACGTACGGTTTAAACTCTTTTTTCTTCTTCAAGGACGGCTGCTCAGAATCACTGACCGCCCAGACTTATTTTCTTTTCTTGCTCTCTTCTTTTTTCTTTGCCGACTGAGCAGACCAGCTCTCTTTTTGCTTGTCAGACTTTTTGGAGTCCGACTGGCTACCAGGCGTGCAGAGGTCGGTTGATTGGATATAGCTTTCCGCCTCCCTCAGGGCCGCCTGTAGCGTAAATGCCCCTTTTCTGACAAGGTCGAACTTAAAGTTCGACCCGTCTCTCAGACCCTTAAAGAAGTCTGTAAATGCTACCTTGTCAGACAGCCCCTGGATCTGAATCCTGACCAGGTTGAACCGCCTGACATATGAACGTAGCCCTTCTCTCTCTCCCTGCTTAATGGTGCTCAAGTCTAAACTTGTCTTCTTAGCAGAGATGTTCATTGAGAAGTTGGTGGCAAACAAGAAGGCTAGCTTCTTGAATCAATCAATAGATCCGGCTGGCAAGTTGCCAAACCATTGTTGGGCAATGCCCTTCAATGTAGCCGGGAAACAATGGCACCAGGTGGCATCATCCCAACCTTGTAAGCACATTAGGTTGGTATATGCCATCAGGTGGTCTTCCGGGTTGGTGGTACCATCATAAGTACCCACCAACACATTCTTAACCTTGGCCGGCTGGGCCGCCTCGGTTATATTTGTGGCAAAGGCAGACGACTGTTCGCCAAGCCTCATCAGCCGTAGCTGCCAGTCCAGAGGCTGGACATTGTTATATGCCGCCTGACCTTCGAATGGGGGTGGCTGCATAAACTGGAGGCCATATTGCCCATACTACGCTTGAGGTGCGTATGGCATAGACCCTATCATGAGTTGAGGTTCGGTGTTGACGGTTTTACCGCCTGTCCGACTCTCACGCAAGGACATGGAGTACCTTGCAGAAGCTTCTTTGAAGCTGTCTGGAAAGCTCGAAGTAGAAGCTGACTCAGACTGTTGCTGTCTCCTTCGATTAATGACATGTCGAGCATCGAAGGTAGACGTCTTGTTGGCCTCCGACTGGGATTGTCGGGGCTGCCTCTGGGGCATCAGAATTTTAGCTCAGTCAAGTTTTGCGGCTGCCTTCTCCTTGGGATGAGGAGTTGGTTGCCTTTCCTTGACCGGCTTCTTCTTCTTCCCATCATTAGAAGTCTTTTTAGCCGGCGGACTCTTGTTAGAGCCATCCTTGTTGTTGTTGATCATCTCCTTGATTTCACCCTTGAAGGAGTTCATGAATTTCATGAGCTCATTCCGGGTGACCGGAGCTTCTCCTCTGGTCTTCCGGGTTTCCCCGTCTGACCTTCCAGGGGGCCGCCTGCTTGGACCCACCTGGTCTTGATTACGCTCCAATTGATCCCTGGAACGTATGGACTTAGAGATGAGGGAGCCGTTTTTGGTTGTATAGGTCTCCACATCATTGTCCTCTTCATCTTCCTCCTCAGTAAATACCTCCGGCTGAGGCTGGGGCTGAGGCTGAGGAGTAAGTTGGGGAATTCCAAAACCTGCCGGTTGAATAACCGGTTGTAGATTTTCAGGATTACCCGTTTGAGTAACCAGTTGCAGAGTAGTAGAGTTAGAGATTGGTACAGAATCTTGAACCATCTTGAGGTACTCTCCCCACAGACGGCGCCAAATGTTTTGGGTGTTTTTGTCCCTTGGGAGAGTTACAACTCGAAGACTGGTCCTGCTGGCTCTGTACCTGCAAAAACAACGGAGACACTGGTTGGGTGGTGCTCCGCCTCCAACGCTCAAGTTAGTAACTTGAAGAAGGGTAAAAAGTGCGGGATTTAAGGTGGGGATCTGCTTGGATTCCAAGCTCAGGAGTTCTCTGATGAGAGAGAAAATGGATATAATAAATGATTGTGAATTGCCCTCAAAATGGGGGAATATCTCCCTATTTATAGGGTCATGGGGAAATGTGCCCTCCCCTAGGTCATCTGACCTAGGACAGCTGGGCTGCGCCGCAAAAGTGCGGTTTTATGGGGAATTGGGCCTTGAAGGCCACAATTCTAAAGAAGTATCTGGGGAGGCCACGTGTCAGCTGGAGATTGGTCAGAGGTGACTTGCCAGCCTCTGACACGTGGCAGCCCCTCATTGGCCTAAGTGTTTAGGGTAAAAATACCCTAAACATGTGCGATGACACTAATATACATAAACTAGTTTTTGGCCCCGTGCAATGCACAGATTTATAAAGTAAGATTTATTAATAATTTTACTCGATTGAAACTATATAAAGTTAATTGAAATTAAATGACTTATGTAACGATTTTACCTTTTTTTTCAAATTTGAATTTATTAATGTCTATCTTTTAAATTCTTAATTATGTGTTGCATAAATAAAATTTAATAAAAGAATTTTAATTTATTAATAGATTTTTTTGTTTTTTTTTTAAAAAATAAATAAACAGCATTTTGGAGGGAATAAATAAAAAATAAACAAACATCACATAATTTAAATCAATCACTTGACAATAAAGTTGTAAAACAACGTCCATATCTTTCTATCACTCAATTTTTTGAGACAAAAACACAAAAAAGAACAATAAACCAAGCTCAAAGACGAGACTTTGATAATAAACAATAAACCAAGCTCACATAGAAATTTACAAGTTTATATACTTCATCCGTTCCATTAATATTGCAACAAGGTGGAAATTACGCATCTCAAAGCACATTTTATATGCTAACTATCTATAATTGTGTAAGAGTAAAAATTAAAAAAAGTTGATATTGTGAAAGTATTTTATGAGACGAATCCAATAAGATCCCACGTGACTATATTTTGTTTAACGCATAAATCTATATTATATGGTCAAACAAGAGTAATGAATAGTACAAAAAGTCCATTGTTACAATATTAATAGAACGGAGGAAGTACAATTTTTCTTCTAGTCTCCTTGGCCAAGGAACAAAACTGTAAGTAAATTAACAACATTATTGTTGATATAATCACAAAAACATTATGCTCATATTCTTAGGAGATAAACCCAGACTTCCTCTTTTAAGACGAGGCTTAAACTTAATCACAAGATCATCATAATTCAAACCCAAACCTTGATTATTACCAATTAAATCCAAAACTTCTTTCAACAAAACCTTCCTATTTTCACCATAAACAACCCCATCCCAACCCCTCTTAACCAACTCCTCCCCCAACTTAACCGCCCCTTCCACTGTCGCCGCCGCTCCTTCGAACACTTCATCCACAACCCCAATCTCTCTCTTCCCTCTCTCCGCCGTCACCTTCTCCGCCATTAACGCCACCTTCCTCATCCCTTCCCACCCTCCTCCAATCTTACACTTCATCACAGCAACAAACCATGGCGGAATCACCAACCCAATATTTACCTCACTCATATACAAATACCCTCTTTCTTTCCTCATCAATACAAAATCATGCGCCATTGCTAGGATAAACCCAGCTGCTGAAGCGTGCCCATTAATGGCGGCGATTGTCGGCATTGGAAATGAGATTAGTTCAGCAATTAAGGCTTGTAATTGAGAATCCATGATTTTTTCGGCGAGTTTAGGGTTTGAAGAGGAGTTTACCCAGGCTATGTCGTAGCCATTGGAGAAGAATTTGCCGTCAGCGGTGGTGATTAGGGCGGAAGGGGTTTTGGATGCGAGGGATTGGGATTTGATTTGCGAAAGAGATGATCGGATTGAGCTGATTAAAGTTGGGTTTAGACGATGTTCGTTGTTGCCTGTTAAGGTTAAGATGTAGAGATTGCCTCGTTTTTCTACTGTGAACATCTTCTCTTCTTTCTGATTTTCAGTCGATGATTTCACTGCTTGTGTGGTATGGAGGAATGGAAGAAAAGAAGGATTAGTATTTATGGTCAATTGTTGAAAATAGCCCCGGTAATTTGGAGCGATGATAGTTGCAAATGATGTATACGAGGTTTGATCTTAACCGAGTCTCGCCTTTGATTACTTTAATCGATTTAGTTGACTTTTGCTGATAAACTCGATTGTGGACTTGTGGTTGGGTTGCTTGGGAGTTGGGACGCTTGGGTATGAATTTTTTAAAGATTTTGATTGACTAATTATTATAATTGCTACTTTCCTTTGCTTTAATGTTTAATTAAGAGTGGAGGTAAAATAAAATGAATGGAGCCAAGATTTTGTGATTGATCTTTTTTGTTTTTGTTTTTTTTTTTTTAGGATTGTGATTGAATATTTGACAACTACACCATATGATGACCGAGTTTGTCACATTATACATACAAAGGGGACTTGTTATTCATCGCCCGCAAATCTCTACATAAAGCCCACATTTTATAATTTTTTGACAAATTTGCCCTTTTTATAATTTTAACCGAAGATAAATTTTTCGCACTAAAAAAATGTGGAGCAGCACCGGATCGCCGAGGATCACCGGAGAATCGCCGTCGTCATCGGAAAACGAGGTTCGTAACGCATCGTAAGGACGAAATGGTGGCTGGCGCCTAGCCAAAAGGCCATGCCGTGGTTGTGGCGCCTAGCCAGGACGCCGCCACCGTGGTAACGGCGCCTGGTGGAGAAGCCTCGACCATGGTAGTGGCGCGTGGCCAGGACGCCGGAGCCACGGCCAGGGCGCCTGGCCAGGACGCCGCCACCATGGCGGCGGCGTCCTGACCAGACGCCCCGGCCGTGGCTCCGGCGTCCTGACCAGGCGCCCAGGCCGTGGCTCCGGCGTCCTGGCCAGGCGCCACTAGGGGAATATATTTTTTTTTTTTTTTTTTTTTTATTTTTTAATTTAATCCCCCTTTTTTTTTTTTTTTTTTTGTTTTGTTTTTGTTTTTTTTTATTTGTTTGTTTTTATTTTTGTTTGTTTTTCTTTTTTTTTTTTTTTTTTTTTTAATTTAATCCCCTTTTTTTTTTTTTTGGTTTTTTTGTTTTGTTTTTGTTTTTTTTTATTTGTTTGTTTGTTTTGTTTTTGTTTTTTTTTTATTTGTTTGTTTGTTTTTTTTTTGTTTGGTTTTGTTTTGTTTTTGTTTTTTTTTTTGATTTGTTTTGTTTATTTGTTTTGATTTGTTTTTGATTTTTTTTGCTTGTGGTGTTTTATTTTGTTTTGTTTTTTTTTTTTGGAATTTTTTTGTTTTTGTTTGCTTGTGTTGTTTTATTTCCTTTTAATTTTTTTTGGAGGGAATTAATTTTTTTTTTTAATTAAGTTTTTTTAATGCATCTTTTATTTTGTGTTTGTTTTTGTTTTATTTTGTTTTATTTTGTTTTGTATTTGTTTATTTTTTTTTATTATGGTTTTTTTTGTTTGTTTATTTATGTTTGATAAATTTGAAATGAAATGTGTGTTATTATTTTGTTTTTTAAATGTATTATGCGTTAAATATAAAAATGATATTTAGAAATTTAAAATTTAGAAATTGCGTTTGTGATAATTTTGTGTTAAGTGTATTAATTTAATCTTAATGTAATTATATTTATACGTTATATGTTATTGTTACAGGATTATGGTGGAGACGGAAATGATTACAGTGGGATTTTTGTACATGATGGCCTGTTCGAAGATGCTCAACAAGCGATTGATTGGGCAAAACAGGTTGCAATTAGATCAGACTTTTGTTTAGTAGTAGCAACTCATAAATCTCAACGGGATGGTAGAATGGATCGCATTTTGAGATGCGACCGTTATCGCAAAAGAGAAGAACGAGATTTCAGTAAAGCGATTCGGTTTGACTCAAAGCGGAAAGGTTGTGGGTGTCAGTTCCGAGTTAAGGTTCGACAACATCAAAGGCGTGACGGTTGGGAAGTGAAGGGTTACGGCAAATGGGGATATCACAACCATGAGCTGATAGCATACAAAGTGGGGCATCGGCAGTTAAGCGACCTAAGTCCAGCTGCGAAACTAGTTGTAAAAGAAATGAGTGATGCTCAAGTGAAGCCCGCTAAAATATTAGCGTCTGTACACACATACTTCATGACATGTTCAATACATCGTGTTTGGATACCGAGGAACCGGAAGGGGTCGAGCGACCTAGGGGTCGACAACCACGGCGGAACAAGAGTGCGTTTGAGTACATTCGCGGTCGTACTTCAATTTCTTTTGTTGACTGTTTGATTAGTTTACTGTTGACTTGTTTATTGTGTTTATTGATGTGTGTAACAGGGAGAATGGACATTGAACATTTTCCATATAAGGACAGGATCCCTAATATCATGATGCCATTCTTGGACGGGTGGAATGATGTCATTGCAGATGGTAACTGCGGATTTCGGGTTGTGGCGGATGTGTTTCAAATGGGTGAAGACAACTACGGTTTAGTGCGGCAGTTGATGTACAGTGAAATCTCATCAAACCGAGATGTGTATGGCCATGTGTACGGCGAGGACTTGGATAGGTCTCTGCAGCGTATCCGGTGGGGAGGGGGACCTTGCGATCAAAATCATTGGTTCGATGCGCCACTTGATCTCTTTGCCGTTGCAAACATCTACAAGTGTGCAGTCATGCATTTCGGCCTTGGTTTACATAGTCGAGCCTATTATCCATGTACAACGGTTCTGCCCTGGTGTTCGCGCGAGACCGTCACCAGACCGGTAAGGGACGTTGCTATTGGATTTCTTGGGCCGTCATACAGACATTTTATCCGATTAGACATGTCACCCGATTTTCCGGTCCCACATATCATACCGAAGTGGTATGAAATTCGTAGAGCAAGCGTGGAGGGTTGGGATGCTTTGTACCATGCTCGCGTGCAACAGTGGAACAATTTAATTGCCATGTAGTTTTTGTTGATGTACACCTACCTTTTAGTATGAGGCCTTGTATTGTCAATACTATGTCATTTCTATGTGTTCATTTTTAAAAGATAATGTTTCATTTTAAAAACTAACAACAATAATTTCACAATATTACAAACTAAAAAGATAATATTGAATTTTAAAAACTAAAAACAATAATTTCAAATATTACAAACTAAAAAGATAATGTCTAATTTCAAATATCAGTAATCTCTCTGTGACGCCCACTGCCACTGCTCAAGGGTCCGTTCCAGATCGTCAATAACAGCTCTGCCTGATGCACTCGTCATGCAGTCCCTTTCCTCAAAAAGTCGGTGTCCCAACTGCATAATCTTGCCCATCCACTACACAAAACAAAAAACATGAAACGACGTATTATACATATATATATTAAAATAAGAGAACAACAAATAAAAGATGAGACGTACCGCATAAGAGGCAGTGGCAGGTGGCACATCGTCATCATCTGCGTCGTCGATGTCTTTGATCAACCTCGGGTGCGAGTGCCGGATGTACCATTCCATGTAGTGCTGGTCACACATGGCAGTCACCCCACTTGGCGGCCGCTGCAGCTCCACCGTCCATAGGCGGGCAACCATCGGAAACTGCTCCCACATGGATATCATGTTTGCCGGCCATTGGACGACGTACTCCTTCGACGACGCAGATCGTACCGCCTTACTGGGCCATGCCGGTGGAGGTGGGACAACTTGGACAAATCCAAGCTGGCGAAGACAGCGCTGCGGCATGTACGCCTCTACGATCTCGCGATACTGAATCAGTCCGGTGTAGAGGGTCCTGGGTACCCTATTACTAGGGTTCTGGCCGAAAGGCATCCAGTTCACCTGCACATTATTTAAAATCAGTAACAGTCATAAAATAAAGCATCAGATTGTAAAAGTAGAAATAATTTAATCACTGTACCTCTAAGGGGGACATCCTGTCAAGCGATAACCGTATGGAGCGCAGGCGGTCAACGGACTTCTTCTCGACACGCGGACTCCACGCACAGGCACGTGGCTGGCCATCACCAATGGGAACCGGGTCGTGGTGTGGTCGAAACGCAGGAAAATACTCGTATATCCAGGTCTGTAACAACGTCAGACATCCAGTGATACCTGCTGCATCAGCCCGGCTCGAGAATCCTAACTGGCGATACAGATACGCCAGCGTAGCCGACCCCCAAGAAAACTGGCCTACTCTGTCGGGCTCACACGCGTCAACTATGTCGCGTGGCCTGAGCTTGTTCCCGCTCTTATCCGGAAACAAGGTACACCCGAGAAGAAGAAAAACATATGCAGCCAGCTGTGTGTCCTGCGTCCTACGTGCCGTAGGGTGCAAACATCGCTGCAAGACGGCTGCGATCTTAACGCCGCCGTGATCCCACACACCAAGTGCCGATGTGTACAGCGCAGCCCTATCCACCGCCAACAGCTCCGCTAGTAAATCTGTCTGATCCGCATCAGTGACGACAGATGCTCGGTTTCCCTCCACGGGAATCCCAAGGATGGCCTCGACGTCATGCAACATGATGGTCATCTCACCGAACGGAAGGTGGAACGAGTTCGTATCCGGCTGCCATCGCTCAACGAAAGCCGTGATCAGCGTCCAGTCAATCCTGTCGTGCATGGTGGCAGGAAGGTGACTCACTCTAGTGCCCCTCAATCGCCCGACCATCTCGCTCTCCTCCGGCCAAGCATCAGCCCAGCTACACAAAAACCTACAAGTCTTTTCCCGGGTTTGGCATTTCAAAATGCCTGTATCCAAAGCCCTCTCCTGGTCCTCCCAAATACGGGTAGCGATGTGTCCTAAAAAGCTAGGAATCACACTCCCGTCTATAGGTCCCCCGGCCACCTCACCCCTAACCATCCAAGAATCATTAACGGCCCTCGACCGTTTTCTGCTACCCGCAGACACAGTGGACGCAGATGATGTGCCAGATCTACTAACAAACCTACCATCTCGACCCTTACGCACATCTACCCTATGCGTCTCATACGTATCATCAAGCCTCTGACTGAATGGACCGTAATCATCATATGGTCCACTCTGATCGTCGACATCCTCATCTGCATCATCCTCGTCCTCGACCTCCTCCTCCTCGACCTCCTCCTCCTCCTCCTCCTCATCATCATCATCATCTT